GTCTTCAATAGTTTTTAATTTATTCTCCGCGTAAATTGCAATGGAACTGAATGTTTTGGGGCGCAAGTAATTATATTTGATTGTCTTGACTATATCAGCAAAATACATTTTTCTAATGGTGGTTTGGTGCAGCTTCCTTAAATAGATTCCATATGAGATTTTCTGCAATCATTAAGGCACTCCATTAGGTCTTGTTTTTCTTTCAGTGCTTCAAGAGAAGTGTGCATTAAAATAGCCTTTTGCTTCAACGATTTGTAGAATACTGCCATCTGAGGCTGCATTACCAACCTTTCGCGATAGGGAATTATTCCTCAGCTTTTGTTCAGAGTTTAGTTTTCCCTCCGTTTGCCATATTGCCCATATGGCAAACTTCATTAAGGCACTGTTCGATTGAGGTCATCCAATTTTTAATTTCACTGGTGGCTGAAAATTCAATGGGGTCTGCAACATCACGCTAAGATAGTTGAGGCGTGCTGGGCGGACTCCGAGGTGTAATGGTGCTCCTGTTAAAAGGGCTATTTTCGTATGTATTAGACAAGATTTCTCTTAAATGTTTTTCATTATAATTTGTTATTCACTACTGTAAAGTCACACTTAGCATAAATTGTCCTATGACTTATATATATATTTTATTGAAAATATTTAAACACTTTTATAATTGCTAATAGGCACGACTGCTCGATTCGAGCTCCGTTAGCGTATATGTATATAAACAATGCTTAATTTTGTTCTCGTGGTTAAAATATCATTCTGAATGGAAACATGGTATAATTATTATGCGTGCATAACTTTTGTTAAATCGCCGTCTAGTTTCTAGTTTCTTGACTTGTACCATTCCGAAAGTGTCGTGAGAGGCGGCAGTATGAACTGAAACAGGAGATGGATACCAACATCTTTCTCATTATAACTATATAATAAAACAATGCGGCTTCCTATCCGCATGCTAAGCGTGGCAGCTTTAGCAAATATCTATTTTATGTGCAACTATTTACCATGTGTGTTTTGTTTGTGCCTTTGCAAGATTTATTATATACATACATACATAAACACTCACGCCTGTCAGAGAGGGGTAGGCAGAGACTACGGACTTCCATTTGGCGCGATCCTGACAGACCTCTCTCACCTCTTTTACATCCATATATCTATGCATACACGCTCGTCGGTTAAGGGTACTCCTAATCTGGCCCATTTTTAATGTATCGCCGATTTGGTCGATAAACCTTCGTCTAGGGCGTCCCTTCCCGACCCTGCCGTTCACTTCTGCAACATAAATTTGCTTAGTCACTCTTTCCTCGTTCATTCTTTCTACATGATCAAACCACCGAAGCATTCCTTTCTTAATCCTTGTCACAACGTCATCTTGCAAACCACACTTTTCTCTTATCACACTATTTTTCACCCTGTCATTCAGATTCAGCCCTAGCATACTCCTTAAGGAATGCATTTCTACAGCATTTATTCTACTCTCATGCTTCTTCTGCCAGACCCAACTTTCACTACCATACATTAAAGTAGGGACTAACACAGCATTATGAATTGCCATACGTGCCTTAGTTGACACATTCTGACTCCTCATAATAGCGTGTAGAGCCCCATTCTCTCTATTTCCTGCGTTCACTCGTCGTTCTATATCCTTATCATATCTACCATCCCTGCTAAATAAACATCCCAAATATACAAACTCATCCACTTGCTCAATCAACTCCCCTTCTATTCTTATTTCACATAAAGTTTTACTTTCTTCTCTTTCAAAAACCATCACTTTCGTCTTACTTGCGTTCACTTTCATACCCCTTTCTTTCAATGACTAATTCATTAAAGTAACCATCATTTGCAACTCGGCCGCCGACGATGCAAATATGACTTGATCATCGGCGTACAAAAGGCATTTGACGGTTGACTCACCCATTCTCAACCCACATTCTTAAACTTTCAAAGTTTGCACACAACTGTCCATAAATAGGTTAAACAGCCACGGGGAAGCCACACATCCCTGTCTGACACCTTTATGAATGCCAAATCAGTCCGAGTAGACCCCGTTGATCCTGACACAAGCACTAGAGTGCCTATAAAGATACCTTAATGCCTGTATCAAGCCAGCGCTCAACCCAAATGAGTTCAGTGTCTGCCATAACACATTCCTGTCTACTCTGTCATAAGCCTTTTCCAAGTCCATGAACGCACAAAAATCTTTCTGGTTTTTAGCCAAAAACTTCTCCGCTATCATGCGCATGGAAAAGACTTGATCCGTACACCCCATCCCCTTTCTAAATCCAGCTTGCACATCCCAAATTTTTCCATCAGTTTCTTTCATAACTCTTTCAATTAACACCTTAGCATACAGTTTACCCACAATGCTAAGCAAGCTGATACCACGGTAGTTTTTACAGTCCTGCTGCGACCCCTTTCCCTTATATATTGGGACTATAACAGCTTTGCACCAGTCTTCCGGTACCCGCTTCAGTTCCCAACATAAATTAAACAAGGTGTACAGCAGGCCTGCAACCACACCCTTACCAGCCCTTAGCATTTCGAGTGATACTCTATCATATCCGGCTGCCTTACCTGCTTTCATGCTTTTCATTGCTTTCATTATTTCATCTACACTTATCTCCCTACCTCTCTCCACTTCTTCCGGAATTTCTATTTCACTTATTTCAGACGACTCTTCACTCTTAAACACGCTTTCAAAGTATTCCTTCCATCTCTTTAAATTCGAAACTTCATCATTCAACATGCAGCCATTCTCGTCTCGTATAGCATTCATTCTAGGCTGTTTTGAATTTCCTGGCAGTTCTTACGAGCTTCCAGAACATTTTAATATTTTCCTGGAAGTTATCAGATATCCTTCTATCATTTTTATCTATCCTTTCTTGCTTTTTCCTTTCAACAACTTCTTTTACTCTCTTATTTATACGTCTAAAGTCTGCCTTTTTTCTTTCAATCTCATCATTCATACCGCCAGAATTACCAGCTGTAGTTGCTAGTAAATCTAGCCATGCTCTCTTCTTTGCTTCAACTTCCATCCGTACCTCATCATCCCACCACAACGTATTACTTTTCCTTTCATTCGTTCTCTTACTTACACCACATACTTCGGTGGCTGCATCCACCAAAACTTTCTTAATATTATTCCATACATTCTTCAATTCTAAATCTTTCATACATAATTCATTCAACCCACTTATATTTTCCCTCAGTCTGCATTTATATTTCTCTTTCACACCTTCATCTTGTAACCTCTCTATTCTTATACGCTGTAACGCAGTGGTAGACACAGATGTCCGATGCCGCCTACGTCTGAATAGACCATTAATTCGGCATAAGACCAAGTAATGATCCGTCCCTACGTTGGACCCCCGGTAAACTCTTGTATCTACCACTGCGCTCCTCATTCTTTCATCCACAATTATAAAATCTATCATGCTTCTATCATCCCCTCTTTCCCTTGTATACATGTGAATCCTCTTATGGCGAAAGAAAGTGTTCGCCACAAAAAGATTATTTTCCACACATACTGTGAGGAGGTCTTCACCAATCTCATTTATTCTTTCATCGCCAAACGTTCCTAATATCCTTTCATAACCAGACCTCTTCACCCCAACCCTTCCATTAAAATCTCCTAACATAATAATATTTTCATTTTCCTTACATTTCATCAACACCAGCCTTACCATGTCCCAAAACTGCTCTCGGATATAAGTGGGCTTAGACATATCTGGGGCGTACACTCCTAGCACAAACTACTTCTTTAAGCCCACTTTCATTCGTATCCATAGCAGCCTTGGGCTAACACATTCATACTCTTTCACACATTGACCCATTCTTTCTGAAAGTATGACACCGACTCCCTGGCATGCCCTCTCGGTCTCGTCTACTCCAGACCAGTAAGCGGTATATATGCCATGTGCAGTGACATATCTTCCCTTTCGTTTCGTCTCGTTTACACATAACACATCTATTCCTCTATCATTCATCATTTCGCATACTTCATCCATCTTATCATTCATTGCTCCACATACATTCAGCGTAGCCAGACGGGCCTCCGCAATCCACTTTTCGCCCCCCCCCCCCCCCCGGGAGACAGGACGTGACGGGTGGCGAACCTCGTCTCCGGTTTTTCTCCCGGAGATTCTTCGCACCCCTGACCCATTAACGGGGCGCCGGGAACTCGGGGCCATTTCTTTTTCTTCTTGGCTCATGGTGCGAACTAAGGGGTGGTAGATTTTACGCCGCTACCATACGGCGAGGAGCTGAGTCTGTCGTTTCGGCTTTGTCGCTCGTTTAGCACCACCCGGGGGACACGTGTAGGGTGGGCCTAGGATTAGGTGGTCGAAGCCTACGGACGCGAGTGACTCATCCCTCTATCATTCATATCATCCCCCTATTTATTATATCTACCAAAAAAAATTACAGGCAGGAATTTTAACAACAGCATGAAGTTAGTTTCTCGATTTTGCATACGAATACGAAACACCCGCCTATTTAATTTATTTAAATTTTTTATGGTCATGACTACTGACACTGACTACTAACAAATTTAAGATTTCAAAAAATAGAACGCATTTTTGTAACTCAATAAGCTGGTACCCGGCACGTTGCTGCCGCAAAAGAAATAATTGTGGAAATATTGTTTTAAATTTGGAAGAGCTATGTAGGTTAATTAAAATGATAATATATTCATTGAATTTGTATCATATATAACCTTCAATAAATTTGTCGGTACGATACGAGTGCCAGTTACTGTAAGTTAATTGGACTATCCTATAACCTTCGCGCAAGTGCAAGCAATAAGTTGACCAAGTTGTACCGCAATCTGATTAATAGTGCATAAAATACGAACAAACAGACATTAATTTTTATATATTAGATTGATAAGTGTCCTATTCCGAAGACATTGATCAACCAGTATATTACACATCTACAATTTTTTCTGGTACGTGTATTTAATTAAATGTGGTACAATGTATTTAATTAAAGGTTTATAGGAAATCTTTCAGATAACATTCCAGCGGTAGACCCTGCTATGAGGCTGTTGGAAAATGAAGGTCCTTGCGGTGTAAATGATGTAAATCATGACGCCACTATAATAGAAGGTAAGTGAAACGTCCCAGAAAAGACAGCCGTGCCGTCTGTGCTAATTTTGATTACATATTTTATGATAATTGGTAGAATCAGGCGTTACTTTGCGGAAATCCATTATAATGGGTTTGTTATAAACTAATTCGCTTAATTCCGCGTAAATTACCCGTTTTACATTTATTATTATTTACATATTTTATTTAACGCAAACCTGATATTTTAATTTGTATTTGTTGCGTGCGAAAAGTTTTTGGTAAAACGTGAATATAAACGTTTGCGATTTAAGTCAAATCATGTTAATCATGTCGTGTAGTGGCGGTCAAGAATATCCACTACCCCATATCCTCCCGTGGGTGTCGTAAAAGGCGACATAGGGAAACAGACAGGAGATGGGCAGCAGCATCTTCCTGATAATAGCCAAAATTACAATAAAAAAACTGCGGTTGCCAACCCGCTCGCCAAGCGTGGCAACTATGGCAAATACCCCCCAATGATTAAAGCAACAAACAGACGGCCCCCAGTCCCCGGCGGCCCCGCTATTCCTGGCTACGGTGGCGACCATGGTAACGGCGGGGCAGGGGGTGCTAACAATCTCCGGTGGAGGTTCGGTTGCCACCTTAGACGACTCGACCTGGCAACGTACAACGCACGCACCCTGAGGACTGACGAGAAGATCGTGGAGCTGGAAGAAGAGATAGACAAGTTGCGCTGGCATATTATAGGATTATCCGAAGTCCGAAGAGAGGGGGAGGACACGGTAATCCTCGAATCCGGCAACTTGCTCTATCACCGGGAGGGCGACCATCTGTCCCAAGGAGGTGTCGGATTTATCGTCCACAAGTCTCCCGTTAACAACGTTGTAAAGATCGGGAGTGTGTCGACGAGGGTTGCGTACCTTATACTCAGAATCACCAAACGGTATTCGCTGAAGGTCATACAGGTTTACGCACCAACCTCGGCACACCCCGATGAGGAGGTGGAGGAAATGTATGAGGATATCTCTAGAGCCATGCATTCCTCCAAAACCCAATATACGGTGTTAATGGGAGACTTCAATGCAAAACTAGGCACAAGAGAGAACGGTGAGCTGAAAGTAGGGAAATCTGGAATAGGGCAACGGAATCCAAGGGGCCAGCAGCTGGCCGACTTCATGGAGAAAGAGGGACTCTTTATGATGAACTCTTTCTTCCAGAAGCGGCCCCACAGGAAGTGGACCTGGTCGAGCCCCGACGGTTCGACAAAAAATGAGATTGACTTCATTATGACGACCAGACGACAACTGTTCAGTGATGTCTCCGTGATCGCGAGGGTGAAAACTAGTAGCGATCACCGAATGGTTAGAGGCACACTGAACCTAAACGTTAAGTTGGAGAGGTCTCGTCTAATGAAGTCAACGCTCCGTCTCCCTCGTGCTCTGTTCCAAAGTCCCGAAACCTTTCAGCTCGAGTTACAAAACCGTTTTCAGTGTCTAGAAGACTGCAATGAAGTGGACGATATGAATGACAAGCTCGTGGAAACTGTCCATGCGGTCGGAGCTAAGTTCTGCAAGACCCGCCGCAGAAGAACACAAAAACTCTCCGATCACACTCTTAATCTCATGGCTGTTAGACGGGAGATGAAGCTACATTCTTCAACAAACTTGACAACATACAGGCATCTGAACAGACAGATCTCCAAATGCATGCGGCGGGACTTACGCAACTTCAATACAGCTCGTATTGAAGAAACGATCGAGCGGAACTAAGGCTCCAAAGTCTTTGCCAGAGATCTGTCTGCCAGAAAGAGCCAACTGTCAAAGCTGAAGACAAAGTGTGGCAGCATCGTTTCCGGGACACCTAAGATTTTGAGTGAGATTGAGAGGTTCTATGGGCAGCTGTACACGTCATCGTTGGAGCCACACGCAAGTGTGAGTAAATCCGAGAGTGAGTCTCATCCGACACTATTCCGAAGATATCCCGGACGTCAGTCTGAGCGAGATTGGAATGGCTCTCCAGCACCTTAAAAACGGTAAGGCCCCAGGCGAGGATGGAATTACAGCGGAGCTTCTGAAAGCGGGTGGAAGACCGGTACTTTAAGTCCTTCAGAAGCTCTTTAATTCCGTCCTCCATGGTGGCATTACACCGGAGGCGTGGAGCAGAGATGCGGTGGTCTTGTTCTTCAAGAAAGGTGACAACGCTCTCTTGAAGAACTGCAGACCGATTTCCCTTCTGGGCTGCGTCTACGTGCTGTTTTCGAGAGTCATTACGAATCGTCTCGCGCGCAGACTTGACGACTTCCAGCCTCCCGAACAAGCCGGTTTCCGAAAGGGCTTTAGCACCATAGACCACATACATACCCTTCGGCAAATTGTACAGAAGTCTGAAGAGTACAATTTGCCGCTATGTCTGGCGTATGTGGACTATGAGAAAGCCTTTGATTCCGTCAAAATTTGGGCGGTGCTGCAGTCCCTTCAGCGGTGCCAAGTTGACTGTCGGTATATCGAAGTGTTAAAGTGTTTGTACAGTAGAGCTACGATGGCTATCCGAGTACAGAACCAGAGTACGAAACCTATCCAATTGCAGAGAGGTGTAAGACAGGGTGACGTCATATCTCCGAAATTCTTCACCGCTGCATTGGAAGACGTTTTCAAGCTACTGGACTGGAAAGGATACGGTATCAACATCAATGGCGAGTACATCACTCACCTTCGATTTGCCGACGATATAGTCCTTATGGCAGAATCGCTGGAGGACCTAAGCACTATGCTCAATGACCTCAATAATGTCTCCCAACGGATAGGTCTTAAGATGAACATGGGCAAAACAAAGATTATGTTTAATGTCCATGTCACACCTATGCCGGTAGTTGTTGGGAGCACTAAGCTCGAAGTTGTTGACGAGTATGTTTACCTTGGACAAATAGTCCGACTAAGTAAGTTCAACTTCGACCGAGAGGTCAATCGATGGATTCAACTCGGCTGGGCAGCGTTCGGGAAGCTACGACACATTTTCTCGTCAGACATACCTCAAAACCTTAAAACGAAACTGTACAACCAGTGCGTGTTGCCAGTGATGACTTACGGAACTGAGACGTGGTCCTTCACTGCTGGCCGTATGAGGAAGCTCAAGGTCGCTGAGCGAGCTATGGAGAGGGCTATGCTCGGAGTTTCTCTGCGTGATAAACTTAGAAATGAGGATATCCGCAGTAGAACTAGAGTAACCGACATAGCCCAACGGATTAGTAAGTTGAAGTGGCAGTGGGCCGGCCATATAGCTAGAAGAACCGAAAACCGATGGGGAAGAAAGGTTTTCAAATGGCAGCCTTGTACCGGTAGGCGAAGTGTAGGGCGACCCCCCACGAGATGGAGTGACGACCTGGTAAGGCATGCAGGAAGTCGATGGATGCAGGTGGCTCAGGACCGTGCTTTGTGGCATTACTTGGGGGAGGCCTATGTTCAGCAGTGGACTTATGAAAGGCTGTAATGATGATGATGATGATGAAAATACGAACAAACAGACATTAATTTTTATATATTAGATTGATAAGTGTCCTATTCCGAAGACATTGATCAACCAGTATATTACACATCTACAATTTTTTCTGGTACGTGTATTTAATTAAATGTGGTACAATGTATTTAATTAAAGGTTTATAGGAAATCTTTCAGATAACATTCCAGCGGTAGACCCTGCTATGAGGCTGTTGGAAAATGAAGGTCCTTGCGGTGTAAATGATGTAAATCATGACGCCACTATAATAGAAGGTAAGTGAAACGGCCCAGAAAAGACAGCCGTGCCGTCTGTGCTAATTTTGATTACATATTTTATGATAATTGGTAGAATCAGGCGTTACTTTGCGGAAATCCATTATAATGGGTTTGTTATAAACTAATTCGCTTAATTCCGCGTAAATTACGCGTTTTACATTTATTATTATTTACATATTTTATTTAACGCAAACTTGATATTTTAATTTGTATTTGTTGCGTGCGAAAAGTTTTTGGTAAAACGTGAATATAAACGTTTGCGATTTAAGTCAAATCATGTTAATCATGTCGTGTAGTGGCGGTCAAGAATATCCACTACCCCATATCCTCCCGTGGGTGTCGTAAAAGGCGACATAGGGAAACAGACAGGAGACGGGCAGCAGCATCTTCCTGATAATAGCCAAAATTACAATAAAAAAACTGCGGTTGCCAACCCGCTCGCCAAGCGTGGCAACTATGGCAAATACCCCCCAATGATTAAAGCAACAAACAGACGGCCCCCAGTCCCCGGCGGCCCCGCTATTCCTGGCTACGGTGGCGACCATGGTAACGGCGGGGCAGGGGGTGCTAACAATCTCCGGTGGAGGTTCGGTTGCCACCTTAGACGACTCGACCTGGCAACGTACAACGCACGCACCCTGAGGACTGACGAGAAGATCGTGGAGCTGGAAGAAGAGATAGACAAGTTGCGCTGGCATATTATAGGATTATCCGAAGTCCGAAGAGAGGGGGAGGACACGGTAATCCTCGAATCCGGCAACTTGCTCTATCACCGGGAGGGCGACCATCTGTCCCAAGGAGGTGTCGGATTTATCGTCCACAAGTCTCCCGTTAACAACGTTGTAAAGATCGGGAGTGTGTCGACGAGGGTTGCGTACCTTATACTCAGAATCACCAAACGGTATTCGCTGAAGGTCATACAGGTTTACGCACCAACCTCGGCACACCCCGATGAGGAGGTGGAGGAAATGTATGAGGATATCTCTAGAGCCATGCATTCCCCCAAAACCCAATATACGGTGTTAATGGGAGACTTCAATGCAAAACTAGGCACAAGAGAGAACGGTGAGCTGAAAGTAGGGAAATCTGGAATAGGGCAACGGAACCCAAGGGGCCAGCAGCTGGCCGACTTCATGGAGAAAGAGGGACTCTTTATGATGAACTCTTTCTTCCAGAAGCGGCCCCACAGGAAGTGGACCTGGTCGAGCCCCGACGGTTCGACAAAAAATGAGATTGACTTCATTATGACGACCAGACGACAACTGTTCAGTGATGTCTCCGTGATCGCGAGGGTGAAAACTAGTAGCGATCACCGAATGGTTAGAGGCACACTGAACCTAAACGTTAAGTTGGAGAGGTCTCGTCTAATGAAGTCAACGCTCCGTCTCCCTCGTGCTCTGTTCCAAAGTCCCGAAACCTTTCAGCTCGAGTTACAAAACCGTTTTCAGTGTCTAGAAGACTGCAATGAAGTGGACGATATGAATGACAAGCTCGTGGAAACTGTCCATGCGGTCGGAGCTAAGTTCTGCAAGACCCGCCGCAGAAGAACACAAAAACTCTCCGATCACACTCTTAATCTCATGGCTGTTAGACGGGAGATGAAGCTACATTCTTCAACAAACTTGACAGCATACAGGCATCTGAACAGACAGATCTCCAAATGCATGCGGCGGGACTTACGCAACTTCAATACAGCTCGTATTGAAGAAACGATCGAGCGGAACTAAGGCTCCAAAGTCTTTGCCAGAGATCTGTCTGCCAGAAAGAGCCAACTGTCAAAGCTGAAGACAGAGTGTGGCAGCATCGTTTCTGGGACACCTGAGATTTTGAGTGAGATTGAGAGGTTCTATGGGCAGCTGTACACGTCATCGTTGGAGCCACACGCAAGTGTGAGTAACGATCCGAGAGTGAGTCTCATCCGACACTATTCCGAAGATATCCCGGACGTCAGTCTGAGCGAGATTGGAATGGCTCTCCAGCACCTTAAAAACGGTAAGGCCCCAGGCGAGGATGGAATTACAGCGGAGCTTCTGAAAGCGGGTGGAAGACCGGTACTTTAAGTCCTTCAGAAGCTCTTTAATTCCGCCCTCCATGGTGGCATTACACCGGAGGCGTGGAGCAGAGATGCGGTGGTCTTGTTCTTCAAGAAAGGTGACAACGCTCTCTTGAAGAACTGCAGACCGATTTCCCTTCTGAGCTGCGTCTACGTGCTGTTTTCGAGAGTCATTACGAATCGTCTCGCGCGCAGACTTGACGACTTCCAGCCTCCCGAACAAGCCGGTTTCCGAAAGGGCTTTAGCACCATAGACCACATACATACCCTTCGGCAAATTGTACAGAAGTCTGAAGAGTACAATTTGCCGCTATGTCTGGCGTATGTGGACTATGAGAAAGCCTTTGATTCCGTCAAAATTTGGGCGGTGCTGCAGTCCCTTCAGCGGTGCCAAGTTGACTGTCGGTATATCGAAGTGTTAAAGTGTTTGTACAGTAGAGCTACGATGGCTATCCGAGTACAGAACCAGAGTACGAAACCTATCCAATTGCAGAGAGGTGTAAGACAGGGTGACGTCATATCTCCGAAATTCTTCACCGCTGCATTGGAAGACGTTTTCAAGCTACTGGACTGGAAAGGATACGGTATCAACATCAATGGCGAGTACATCACTCACCTTCGATTTGCCGACGATATAGTCCTTATGGCAGAATCGCTGGAGGACCTAAGCACTATGCTCAATGACCTCAATAATGTCTCCCAACGGATAGGTCTTAAGATGAACATGGGCAAAACAAAGATTATGTTTAATGTCCATGTCACACCTATGCCGGCAGTTGTTGGGAGCACTAAGCTCGAAGTTGTTGACGAGTATGTTTACCTGGGACAAATAGTCCGACTAAGTAAGTTCAACTTCGACCGAGAGGTCAATCGATGGATTCAACTCGGCTGGGCAGCGTTCGGGAAGCTACGACACATTTTCTCGTCAGACATACCTCAAAACCTTAAAACGAAATTGTACAACCAGTGCGTGTTGCCAGTGATGACTTACGGAACTGAGACGTGGTCCTTCACTGCTGGCCGTATGAGGAAGCTCAAGGTCGCTGAGCGAGCTATGGAGAGGGCTATGCTCGGAGTTTCTCTGCGTGATAAACTTAGAAATGAGGATATCCGCAGTAGAACTAGAGTAACCGACATAGCCCAACGGATTAGTAAGTTGAAGTGGCAGTGGGCCGGCCATATAGCTCGAAGAACCGAAAACCGATGGGGAAGAAAGGTTTTCAAATGGCAGCCTTGTACCGGTAGGCGAAGTGTAGGGCGACCCCCCACGAGATGGAGTGACGACCTGGTAAGGCATGCAGGAAGTCGATGGATGCAGGTGGCTCAGGACCGTGCTTTGTGGCATTACTTGGGGGAGGCCTATGTTCAGCAGTGGACTTATGAAAGGCTGTAATGATGATGATGATGATGAAAATACCAACAAACAGATATTAATTTTTATATATTAGATTGATAAGTGTCCTATTCCGAAGACATTGATCAACCAGTATATTACACATCTACAATTTTTTCTGGTACGTGTATTTAATTAAATGTGGTACAATGTATTTAATTAAAGGTTAATAGGAAATCTTTCAGATAACATTCCAGCGGTAGACCCTGCTATGAGGCTGTTGGAAAATGAAGGTCCTTGCGGTGTAAATGATGTAAATCATGACGCCACTATAATAGAAGGTAAGTGAAACGGCCCAGAAAAGACAGCCGTGCCGTCTGTGCTAATTTTGATTACATATTTTATGATAATTGGTAGAATCAGGCGTTACTTTGCGGAAATCCATTATAATGGGTTTGTTATAAACTAATTCGCTTAATTCCGCGTAAATTACCCGTTTTACATTTATTATTATTTACATATTTTATTTAACGCAAACTTGATATTTTAATTTGTATTTGTTGCGTGCGAAAAGTTTTTGGTAAAACGTGAATATAAACGTTTGCGATTTAAGTCAAATCATGTTAATCATGTCGTGTAGTGGCGGTCAAGAATATCCACTACCCCATATCCTCCCGTGGGTGTCGTAAAAGGCGACATAGGGAAACAGACAGGAGATGGGCAGCAGCATCTTCCTGATAATAGCCAAAATTACAATAAAAAAACTGCGGTTGCCAACCCGCTCGCCAAGCGTGGCAACTATGGCAAATACCCCCCAATGATTAAAGCAACAAACAGACGGCCCCCAGTCCCCGGCGGCCCCGCTATTCCTGGCTACGGTGGCGACCATGGTAACGGCGGGGCAGGGGGTGCTAACAATCTCCGGTGGAGGTTCGGTTGCCACCTTAGACGACTCGACCTGGCAACGTACAACGCACGCACCCTGAGGACTGACGAGAAGATCGTGGAGCTGGAAGAAGAGATAGACAAGTTGCGCTGGCATATTATAGGATTATCCGAAGTCCGAAGAGAGGGGGAGGACACGGTAATCCTCGAATCCGGCAACTTGCTCTATCACCGGGAGGGCGACCATCTGTCCCAAGGAGGTGTCGGATTTATCGTCCACAAGTCTCCCGTTAACAACGTTGTAAAGATCGGGAGTGTGTCGACGAGGGTTGCGTACCTTATACTCAGAATCACCAAACGGTATTCGCTGAAGGTCATACAGGTTTACGCACCAACCTCGGCACACCCCGATGAGGAGGTGGAGGAAATGTATGAGGATATCTCTAGAGCCATGCATTCCGCCAAAACCCAATATACGGTGTTAATGGGAGACTTCAATGCAAAACTAGGCACAAGAGAGAACGGTGAGCTGAAAGTAGGGAAATTTGGAATAGGACAACGGAACCCAAGGGGCCAGCAGCTGGTCGACTTCATGGAGAAAGAGGGAGTCTTTATGATGAACTCTTTCTTCTAGAAGCGGCCCCACAGGAAGTGGACCTGTTCGAGCCCCGACGGTTCGACAAAAAATGAGATTGACTTCATTATGACGACCTGACGACAACTGTTCAGTGATGTGTCCGTGATCGCGAGGGTGAAAACTGGTAGCGATCACCGAATGGTTAGAGGCACACTGAACCCTAAACGTTAAGTTGGAGAGGTCTCGTCTAATGAAGTAAACGCTCCGTCCCCCTCGTGCTCTGTTCCAAAGTCCCGAAACCTTTCAGCTCGAGTTACAAAACCGTTTTCAGTGCCTAGAAGACTGCAATGAAGTGGACGATATGAATGACAAGCTCGTGGAAACTGTCCATGCGGTCGGAGCTAAGTTCTGCAAGATCCGCCGCAGAAGAACACTAAAACTCTCCGATCACACTCTTAATCTCATGGCTGTTAGACGGGAGATGAAGCTACATTCTTCAACAGACTTGACAGCATACAGGCATCTGAACAGACAGATCTTCAAATGCATGCGGCGGGACTTACGCAACTTCAATACAGCTCGTATTGAATAAGCGATCGAGCGGGACCAAGGCTCCAAAGCCTTTGCCAGAGATCTGTCTGCCAGAAAGAGCCAACTGTCAAAGCTGAAGACAGAATGTGGCAGCATTGTTTCCGGGATACCTGAGATTTTGAGTGAGATTGAGAGGTTCTATGGACAGCTGTACACGTCATCGTTGGAGCCACACGCAAGTGTGAGTAACGATCCGAGAGCGAGTCTCATCCGACACTATTCCGAAGGTATCCCGGACGTCAGTTTGAGCGAGATTAGAATGGCTCTCCAGCACCTTAAAAACGGTAAGGCCCCAGGCGAGGATGGAATTACAGCGAAGCTTCTGAAAGCGGGTGGAAGACCGGTACTTGAAGTCCTTCAGAAGCTCTTTAATTCCGTCCTCCATGGTGGCATTACACCGGAGGCGTGGAGCAGAGATGCGGTGGTCTTGTTCTTCAAGAAAGGTGACAAAGCTCTCTTGAAGAACTGCAGACCGATTTCCCTTCTGAGCTGCGTCTACGTGCTGTTTTCGAGAGTCATTACGAATCGTCTCGCGCGCAGACTTGACGACTTCCAGCCTCCCGAACAAGCCGGTTTCTGAAAGGGCTTTAACACCATAGACCACATACATACCCTTCGGCAAATTGTACAGAAGTCTGAAGAGTACAATTTGCCACTATGTCTGCCGTATGTGGACTATGAGAAAGCCTTTGATTCCGTCAAAATTTGGTTGTTGGGAGCACTAAGCTCGAAGTTGTTGACGAGTATGTTTACCTGGGACAAATAGTCCGACTAGGTAAGTCCAACTTCGACCGAGAGGTCAATCGACGGATTTGAAATATGATATCTCAAAATTTGAAATATGATACCTCAAAATTTGAAAACAAGACTGTACAACCAGTGCGTGTTGCCAGTGATGACTTACGGAACTGAGACGTGGTCCTTCACAGCTGGCCGTATGAGGAAACTCAAGGTCGTTCAGCGAGTTATGGAGAGGGCTATGCTCGGAGTTTCTCTGTATGATAAACTTAGAAATGAGGATATCCGCAGTAGAACTAGAGTAACCGACATAGCCCAACGGATTAGTAAGCTGAAGTAGCAGTGGGCCGGCCATATAACTCGAAGAACCGAAAACCGATGGGGAAGAAAGGTTCTCGAGTGGCAGCCTCGTACCGGTAGGCGAAGTGTAGGGTGACCCCCCACGAGATGGAGTGACGACCTGGTAAGACATGCAGGAAGTCGATGGATGCAGGTGGCTCAGGACCGTGCTTTGTGGCATTACTTGGGGGAGGCCTATGTTCAGCAATGGACTTATGAAAGGCTGTAATGATGACTATGACGATGTTAATCATACAAATTATTAAAAAAAAATGATTTCATACAGATGCCCCAGATGCAATGCAATCTGATGAAATATTACCAGAGGTCCCTCCATCTAATCCGCAAGGACATACCTTGCGGATTTGATTGAGGGGCGGTATTAGCTGGTAGCAAGACAGTAAAGACCACACAATATAAATATTTTTTGCTATAAATATTTAGTTATAAAGCAGTAATTCTAGCAAGAAAAGACACCAAAAGTAAAAACAATACATTAAGAGAGAATATATTTTACAAATGATATGTTTGTTAAATATATTTATAACGTACCAACGGGGGCTTCACAACGATTTATTTTTTTTGACGCGGGTGAAAATTTATGTCAATCAAAGCAAATACAATTTAAGTCAAATCATGTTAATAAAATTAATTATATAAAAAAAAATATTTTAGATGCCGCAGATGCAATGAAATCTGAAGAAATATTACCAGAGACAACTCCATCTTATGAGCAAGGTATTTATAGGAAGTCGGTTTCATTACGTAAAATTTAAGTATACAGGGTGTTTTTGGAACGCTCCCGAAAACTAAGACAGGCGACAACACCAAGTATACCTTTGATCATGGGTCACAAATAAATTCGATCCTGATGAAAAAAAAATCATCTTTTTTACAAGGTTTTATTAGCTTTATTCACGCGCCATCATGTTAGTACAGCTAAATGAAACGATAATTTCATAAAAAATATCATGAAAATACTGAAACATAAAACCAGCAGTGGAATGACTAAATTGATATCACCTGACCTGAGCTAGATAAAGGTCAATGTACGCGCGAACACAAATTCGCGCGGCCCGCAACTAGCGGGTCATCCCACAATATAATAATTTACAACACGTGTCTAAATACCTAACTTATCTACTTAACCTACTATTTTGCCACTGTGCTTATCTCCACGTAGCCACTTTAATCCGAATTTACAGGTTAAATAACCCAAATAACTGGTTCGATTCCCCGCTAATGAAGAAATACTTAAATGAAATGTAACCAAGGTTGGAGTCATGCGTTTTTATTCATCGTGTAGGTATGTTTATTATTCTCATGTATTCAGTTATGTACCTATTCAGATTAGTAATAAGTTATTTAAAAAAAAACATAGTTATGAAACAGCTTACTGCTCTAAATCCTCCGTGGTCTTATGAGATGCGGCTCAAATTGTGCTCCATTCATTGCAAGGCAGATTTGGGTGCAGGCGGGGCATCATCGTGTGGTCTTCGACACAGTCCGTACGTAGTTTCTCGAAAGCATCCACGATCCTTTAGCGCATTTCTTCAGCACTATCACATTCACGATTAAAAACCCTTTCTTTCACATACCCCACAAAAAGAAGTCTAACGGAGTCAGATCTGGTGAGCGAGGTGGGCAAGCGTGTGGTCCTAGTCTGCCGATCCAGCGATCATCAAATAGCTCATTGAGGCGCTCACGGACGAACCTCACGAAATGTGGAGGGGCACCATCATGTTGGAACTATGTGCGGCGATATTCAGCCAACGATAGGTCGTTTAACATGTCAACCAACTGTTCATTTATAAAGTTTAGGTATCGCTGTCCGTTCAGTCGCTCTGGCAGAAACACTGGTCCCAGTATGCGATCCTTAAATAAACCTGCCCATACGTTAACCGACCATCGGGTTTGGTGCCCGGTTTGTCGAACAGCGTGCGGGTTAACCTCTGAATACACGTGTGTATTTCTTCGGTTCCACAGGCCGTTTCTGGTAAATGTCGACTCATCCGTCCAGATAATGTGCTCAATGGAACCAGGCACACGTTGCTGCTGGTATAATAACCAACGGTAGAAAACTCGTCGGCGGTCGTGATCGCCGGGAACTAAAGCTTGCACTTTGTGCAATTTGTATGGGCGCATTGGTTACGCTTCAACACTTTGTGCACTGCACAGTATGACACACTTGTACCATCCCGACGTCTTAACAATTTATTTAGCGATATTACGTGTACCTAGGTTCGGATACCTAACATGTTGACCACTATAAACGTACGCGTTAGGCATTATTAAAACAAAAAAGAATCCAAAAACGTAACAAAAACTTTAATATCAACACGTAATCACAAGTAAATTTATTAAACAAAACGATTGAACTGTCGCTCGCGCACGCGTGTACAAAATCAACACGGAACTGTCTCAAAAACTAAAACGAACGAACCCCGTCAAGGCTGAAAGCTACTGCGTCACAAGTGTGAGGCGACAGGGTTAGGCATTCTGCCGTCATAATAAAAAAGGAAGTAACTAACAAAAACGTAAAATGGAAATAAAAAATAAATTGATGAATTTTTCTTTCAGACCCCGTGTCTAAAGTATATTAAAAGGTATCTATATTGAAATATATACGTAGAGACATGAAGATTTTTAGGACGAACTTATTTTTTTTTTAATTTGTTTATTTATTTAAATAAAACGAATTTTCCTTTTCATCTTAGATTAAAAAGTACACCTGGCAACACAAAAACATCGAAGGAAAGACGCATATAACTATTTGGGTCTTCCCAACCTAATAAATAAAACAAAACTACCATTCATTTAACATTTTTACATATTTTGGAAAGGTCATTTGAAGTTGAAAGGACGCTAATAGTAATTTACTACTTTTTTCTTAGTAAATATTAGAAAAGCATTGGTAGTGAGACACAAAAAATAACAACCCGCAACTCTTGAGTAATGATTTTAAAGGGGATATCATACAAGACTTACTACGATAATAATTAAAAATTAAAACATTTGTACAACCGACTTTAATATAAATAATTAAGGATAACTCAAAAACTATTGGTCTGACCTCGATCAAATTTATATGGGACCACATGTGAAACACCAGCTCTTAATAATAAGATATGAGCTCTTAATAATAAGATATAAAATAATAAGACAAGAATAATTTAAATTTAAGTAATCGATGCAAATATTGTTAAAGATGACGTAGCAACTGGTTAAATAAGTCTTTTCTTTTATGTTGAATTTGTATAAGTCTTTTCTACTAATAAAATGTCATCTGTGATCAACAGCTACGTCTAAAATTCTGACGATAATTTCTAAAATATTGATATTAGTGAATATTAAAAAAATTTAGTAGATGCGTCTTCTTATCATGAGTCGAATGGTAATTTATTCGAAAATTGTTAGATGCGCCTTTTTTTCTTATGACCGCAGCATTGTTTCATACCGAGCTAGATACAGGTCGACAGCGGAGTGAGTGTGGGTACAGTCGCGTTCTAAAGTACTACATGGTATTGGGCTATTGTTTTATAATATTATAGTAATTAATTGTTTTATTGTAGAATCATAATAGGTGTTTTACTAGCTACTTAGAACTTTGGAAGAGGTGGGAATTAAAAATAGATAATGTTTACTTGAGCATTGTTTGTTATTTCTATCGTAAAATATAAAGTAGTTTGTAACAAAAAAACTTAAGCTAAGGGTGACACGCCGTCCATTATGACGTCTTGGGTCACATGGAAGCCAGATGTTGATGGTGTGTTGGTGTTACTGGATGCTACTTCATCATCACTTTCATCTTCGCTTGAGCTTCCGTCATCAGGTCGATCACATGGTAATTTTTTCGGTATTCTTCCTCAACAATTTTAACTTTACTGCACAATTTTCCCCATTCACCTTCTCCTATCATATTTACCTTTTCGTTCACTAGTTTAGTCATAAAACAATAGATATAAATAATTTTTTTTCCTTCCTTTTTAAAACATCGTCGCGAGTCGCAAAGTAAGCTGTGTATGCGACTGTATTTTTGGAGCGAACAAAGCGCGGGAACCAATAGCATGCAGGCACAGTAATACTGGCCAATATGTGATAAATCGCTCAGTGCCCAAGTTCAAGGCCAGCGTTCTTTTTTCACCGTTCGCGCGTACATTAACCTCCATTAGTCAGGTGATATCAATTCAGTTTCCACTGCTGGTTTTATGTTTCAGTATTTTCATGATTTTTTTTATGAAATTATCGTTTCATTTAGCTGTACTAACATGATGGCGCGTGAAAAAAGCTAATAAAACGTTGTAAAAATATGTTTTTTTTTTTCATCAGGATCAAATTTATTTATGACCCATGATCAAAGGTATACTTGGTGCTGTCGCCTGTCTTAGTTTTCGGGAGCGTTCCAAAAATACCCTGTATATTTAACCATTATACTTCTTGATATTATCTTTATGTTAGTACACTATCTGGACAGGCTGACGATGAATTCCCCTTTTTGGTTGGTGGCGTGATTAAATATGAAATTTACATATTTAATCACGCCACCTACCTAGAACACAATAACGAAGGAATTTTCTGTTATATCCTGTCATAAACTATTTAAACCTTGGACCGCCAGGACCGCGATTATATGTTTTCGTACCTCAGTGTCACGCATATTTTTATATATTTCTTATTTTAACGGAATTGCATATTTAATATGTCTATAAAAAGATATATTCAATGTCGACAATACAAAATTACAAAATTCTTTATTTGTTTTTTTTTTCTGTGATGAATGATCTACATTACGATGTAAATGAAGGAAATATTTAATTATAATAAAATATACAAATATAACGCCGTCATGCAGCCAAAACCAAGTACCTCAATTTAATGCCGTATCGAGCTGTAGATAAACCAGGAATCGCCCGCGGGATAAGAAGTTTGCGGAGGGTAGTGACGTACGGACGTTACAGGGCAGTCATTCAGGTGGGGGCGGGCGGCTGGGAACATTTTTCATGTTTAGCAGTTGCAGTTCACTCACGGATCTCGCAATGAACAGTTGATTATATCTGTCACGGACGCTTGGAGCAAAACGCACACGAGAATAAAGTGCCACGATAAATGCCAAGATGAATCGCCCTCAGATTTTTGGTAAGAAGATTAGCACGCAAGCGGAACAAATGACGTACAACGTTTATTCTATTACACACTGTAATAGTATAAATATAAAAATATATAAAAATTATAAAAAAAAAACAAAAAAAAAACTACTTACTAAAACAGACTAAACATAACTGTTAACATTTATTAGGCACTTAATATCAGACTTGTGAAATTTGAGAAAAATCAATTAGGCGTCAAACCTTCTGTCTCCTTTTTTTACTCGCTCATATCTTCCACACAGTCTTCATCATTTTTACAACAGTCAGGACATTGAAGAACCTAATGTTGAGGACAAATCCACCTTTTACAGGTGTGACATTGTTTTCTGGTGGACTCTGGCTCTGCCACAAAAGGAACATTTCCCAAAGCGACCAGAATTGGGTGGTTGTGCTGGGCATGGTTGTAATTCAGATGGCTCATTCATACCCAAAAACATTTTCTCTTTCATTTTCAATGATTTCGAAATACTTTCAATATTTACTCTGCGATGTATGCATGGTGCGACAAGCCGAAAACCAAGTTCATATAAATAATCATTCCTGGCCCTATTTCTGTAGTCTTTGTTTATTGTATGTACAATATTACCGTTT